TACACCACACACACATAGGCCTATATCCAATAATTGTCATTATTATAGTTGATTACATTTTGCAAGTAATTAGATGGTAGGTCTACTCATGGAGGTATGGTCTACTCAACTTGGCTTCAAGTTAGATGTTGATTAATAGACTGGGATACCGGGCGGCTATACTGGTTGAAAGCGGCCCCAAAAAGTGCAGTGTAACAACATACGCAAACACGTGCGCTTCTGGGACACACGCGTCTTCCTGGCCTCTGTTCTGATTGGTTGGTTGTTAAGTTTGATTGACACTCCGGAATGGTCTATCACCCGGTAATTGCAGGTCACCCTACCGGTTAAACAATTAAGTGAAGATATCAATATCTGATTTGTACAGGAAGAAGCCGTTGGGAACGATTATACCATGATTATACTAGCGTCATATTTTCGATTTGGTAGTGATTTCCGTTTTTAATGGTAGTATATTGATGAAGTTGCATACCAAACTCATTGAGCAATAATCGAATTTTGCATTAATTAAACGTTATTATATTTTAATAAAATAAGCTGCAGCCGTGCCAGTAGCAGTGGCGGATCTAGGAAATTGAAATAAAGTAATCCGAGGGAGGAACTAATTGATAGAAGGTCTAATACCACCTCAGCCCCACCATGGCTGGGGCTGAGGTAAGAACATTTACAATTATGTCACCTCTAGAAGGCACTCTCTAATTTTCTTTTTTTTTCCCCAATTTTTTACAATTTTGAAAAATTTTTAGGGGGCCCTGGCCGGTTGGGCCCCCTGGAATCCACCACTTAGTAGATCTGCATACAATAAGGCCGTATCGTTACCTTCATCAACCGCTTGGTATAGAAAAATAACGGAACAGTATTTATCGATATTGTAAGTAGCTGGCAATCATCTATTTATAGGTGTTCATGATAGATCGCTAAGGTAATCTATGCTCCCGACCACTGTCCAGTCGTTTTACCGGTTCTTCTGAAATGGTCTGAATATGGTGGTTATCTATATATACCTCTTACGTCATTTTGTCTTAAAGGAAGTGCCCACATCTGTACAGTCACACAAAGCTTTGCTAGAAAGTGTTGATAACACTTGAAGATGCGTTGGATTGTCCTATATACTCCCGTTAGTCTGGATGTTGTCTCCCGTAGGAGAGATCAATAACTGTGTCACAAGAAGTTCAGGTCAACATTGATCCCGATCTCAGGAGAATGTGTCTTGTTTACATTTTATATTATTTTCTTCTGATTAATCGTGCGGCTCGTGTGCAAAACACGATAGTCCATTCTGGGTTACGTGCTGTCTACTATAGAATTAATATTGCATTGGTATGTTTCTGATTGGTTTTACAGGGGGAAAAGTTATATTGTAAAATACTACTCGTTTCCGTTTAATTGTAGTTTTCGTTTGTGCAATAATATCAATAACTGTTGACCTGATGGTAAGACCTATAAATGCATTTGTTTTATAGACATGTTTTCGTTGTGTTATAAAACACAGCAATCAATTAAATAATCGGTCGATCGGTCAGTTGGTTTGTCGGTCGATTGATGGATTGATAAATCGATCAATCAAACAATCAAGGCTATCTATCAATCACGAATCAAAGTCAGTCATAAAAAATGGAAAATATTATGAGTCATTATTTACAGTCATGTTATTCTGATTGGTGTAAAATTCTATATAAGAAACATGGTTATTGTTAACATATTGCTCATATACTTTATAGACGCCTGATAGAGAGGCCTATTAATAAAATAATTTGATAAAATGTATTCGATATAGTTCCATTATTAACACAATGAGTTCAATTAGCCGGCGATTATGCTACGTAACCCGAAGCTGTAGTTAAAAGGTGGCCATGGAGCCAGCAGTGGGCTTCAACGACGACCCTTGTTGCGAACCCGAATCAAAATATGATCAATTCCACATTACATATGACATATGTAATCGGTAAACTATTCAATACCCAGCGGACCTACCCGCCCTTGCTAGGTGGGTAATGAGACGGGCTGCAGCTTCACATGAGCCTATAGTGAAAGTGTTGTGTGAATGAATAACTTTTTCTCACATTAATCAGCTGCGTCTTGTATTGACATAATGAATGTTTCATTTGTTCTTTTCCGACGTGTACGTATGAATATTGTTGCGTTGTACAGTATTTTATTCTTTAAATGTATTTGGTTTTTTGATGAATTAGGCTACTGTAATTTGAGTGAAACCCATTCGGAATTTACCGGTACTAAACCACGATAGAAATGGGCCTAGCATTTAAGCTACTAATCGAGAGGACTTAAAATGAAAGACGAACAACAATTGTTGCTATAGGCCTATGCCAATATTGAAACAATTAAAGTCACCACGAGAAGGACCCCACTGAAAATAAGGGTTGTTAATTATAATTGGTATTCACACCGAATATATCTTCTCCACACTCAGACAATTTTTTTCAAATGTGGATACGGTACATTAGGAGCAATAAAATTAATATCATCTTAGATTATAATCAAGGAGGTATAAAAATACCTCTTTGTTATAATTATTAAAACGAATATATCGAAAACAAAATAGTGATGTGTGTTGCAATTTTTCTGAGGAGTAACAAGGAAAACTACATTGAAATGGAAAACAAATACCCCTCATTGCACCTTACGGGCTGGCTGGCACTGTAGTACATATAGCAAGATAGATTGGTAGGTATACTAGTAAGCGTTCGTCTCTACAACCATGAAACCCGTCTTTCAAATCGGTCTGTTATTTTAACCATAAGACTACCACCAGTTGAAAAGTACAGTATACGTGGGTAGTACATTAATGTTATTGCTATTGCTATTTATTAGTGTTATTGCTCCACTTTCTCTTCGTTATCTCACAGGCTATGTTCCTAAGTGAACGATGGATCTCTTTACCTCAACAATTCTATATTGTACTGATAGACTATTTCCCCCAGATTTCTGAGGATACTTTTTTTGAAAAGTTTGACAATGTCATTTTATAATAACCATCGATTTCATTTTTAGGGAAGCAACAATATTACCTTTACCACATTAACATTTTGTACCTGATCACGCCCCATATGGCTCCTTTTAATTGGCTAGACAAGCTGGATACCGGTTAGTAGTGTTATAGTGTACATAGTTCAATCTCAGGGCAAGAAACTAGAACCTCGATTTGTGACGTCATCCATGCTTTATACACTCAAATTTAAACCGAGGCCTGTATCAGGAAATAAACGGGGATTTTTTTTTTTTTTTTGTGTTTCACACGATTTTGGTCGGTCGGAAATATCAATGTGAAAAAATGTAAGTCTGTGACTGATTTTGCTTTTTGCTATTTTTATTATTATTATTATTATTATTATTATTATTATTATTATTATTATTATTATTATTATTATTATTATTAATATTTTTTCTGGGAGCAGCGCATCTCTAAGATAACAGTGGTCCCACTTTTGCTGCTCCCTGGCTCACCTGATTATTCTTTGTTTGTGAATTTCTGATTTTTTTTGTATTTGTAATGCTTTATATTGTTAATTGTTTTGCCAGATGAATAAAATAAAATAAAATAAATAAATCATTATTAATATTATCATTATCGTTATTATTATTATTAACAATAAGTAATTAATGATAATTATTAGTATTAATATTTAATAGGCCTTTGTGAAAAGAAATGAAATTATTATTGTTATTATTATTATTATTAATACTATTATTATTATTTTATTATTATTATTAAAAATAAGTAATTAATGATAATTATTAGTATTAGTATCTAATAGGCCTTTGTGAAAAGAAATGAAAATGTACTTAGTTATAACAGAATGACAGTATCGGCAATAACGTCCGAGTAGATCTACTACTAGTAGATGGCACGGCCCACACTAATGTCCTTGGTATGCGTCAGTGGACAGGCGAAAGTGCTGATCCCGACATAAAGTGACCCTTTGGGGAGAAAAGAAAAGTTGTTGAGTGAGTTAGTCCATGCCTGTTAGCAATTCAGCCTAGTAAGCTGCAAGTCACAGGTTATTCCCTACCTTTACCTTTCCAACATACCAATTAATGTTACTGGTAATATAGTAGGAGACTACTATAGCTAACTTCATTAGTTCAATATCAAGAATAATACACGAAAGGTGATTAAAAGGACAAAATGGAAGCTCGAGGAACATTCTGTGTTATGACACACCTGAGCTTGTTATTTGAATCGCAATCGAATCCTTTTAAAAATAAACAGGAGAAACAGTTGGCAGTGGCTAGTATTTCCTATTTTCAAAAAAAAAAGTTAGGTCAGGTATTTTAAATACCATTTACAATGTTTGTATTGGTTGTGAACATATTTACGAGAAACCATTTACATAACAAAACCAAATGCGGTAGGCTCTATGTAATTGCAATGGTTATTTTGTACGATTTTTTTTAAATAAAAGGCATTGATATAAATCATTAAATTTAATAAGTGTTATTGCAAATTTTTATTGACAAGAATTGTTTTAATTAACTAAAGCTTCACTATAGTTTTAATAAACCTAATATATCAAACATAGTAGGCGAAACCATTCTTGAATAGGGGTATTTTATATTTTGCTCACCCGTTTATCAACTCCTATGTATTAGTGCATTTGGAGTGAACATATCTAATCTCGTTTCGAAATAATCATGGACAGGAATAAGTATCAGTGACAAAATTGGAGATTTGGAGCTTCCTTCCAGGAACAGAGAAGCTTCCTTTATGGTTTCATCGATGTGTGGAGCATTTGAAAGTCAATATTTCTATTATAGTAAAATACTATTTAAACGCATGCTAATATATTTCAGTGAAAATGAAAAAACAACCCTGTATGTTATTAAATACAAGAGAAAAACTCTCAATTCCAACGCTGTTCCCCAGGTTCATAAAAAAAGGTATTTTATCGTTGGACAATAACATCCCTATTCATAAATGCAGCGTTCCAAAACTGATTGGGCAACTACTTCGAGCTCTCTGGGTGTCTGATAGTGCGACTTTGAAACACGCTAAGCATTCAGCAAGTTTCTGCAGTCAGTTGTGTAGACTCGGACACTGAATAGGAAACTTCGTTTGTCTACAGTGGAGAGGCTTAGAGAGTAGGGATACATCTATACAGAACTCCTTCTCAGCAGTCGCCACCGACGTTTCGAAGTTACTCCTATGGCATATTAAACACGCTTGTGAATTGAATACGTTTTTAGAACAGAGACTTAAGCGAGTTGATTCGTTTGGAGAGGTTCCAACGACAACTTGTAGACAGAAAGTACAAAATGGAACGGAACTTCTTTTGGAGTCGGCACTCGGCCGTACACTTGTTAGCATCCGTGGTCATAACTTTATTTATCGTCAACGATATTTCTAATGCAACAGTTGTACCTTTACCGGCAGGTGAGTTATTTTCACGAATAGCACATTGTCACGATCACATTTATTTTCTTATGCGATTCACATTATAGCTCAGGTGTGTAATTCTAGCCGCCCGGTAAATGAGACTTGTGGCAGGGAGCATAGCATCACGTCCTGTGTTTCAAAAGTTCTAGGGCTATCTTATAATAATAACCTTTTGGTTCCAGCCAAAACGCCTACTCATTATTTATCTGGGTTTAATCCTGTTTATGGATATGCTAAACGTATCAGTGCACCGACTTTTGTATGTTTTTTACAGGTTAAATCAGTTTAAATTTGTATCAAAGGTATTGTTGTTCATACGTGCTTTAGCCTTTGTCGATATTAACCGATTACATTTTGGCGGATCGCATTTTAAATTGATTCGTTGAAATTCGATTATACAGTACCTCGAGTGATGGAATTTTGTTTACTTTCATCAACCTTCGTCTCAGCCAATAAATGTTACATTTTAATGGCACAGATGCAAATGCAATTTTTGGCAAACATGTCATGTAAAAATGTAACAAGTGATTAAAAAAGCTGATTGTCCTTCGAGATGTTATATACGTCTTACGGATCCTTGATGATAGCAAAGTTGGTGTGTGCACTCTGGCAGCTGCTAACGAAGTGTTAACTCCGCCCAAGATGCTCAAGTCCCCTGCATTTGCTCCGGAATGAACTCCCGCGAGAGTCTGCCTAAGTATGGTTTATATATCAGGACAAAGTTCTGCCAGGAAAAGCACGATCTACTCGTCGCCATCTTTTATACAAAACGTTTGAATCTTTACACTTATCATCAAGTGGACCATTTCTCAGGAATAAAGTGAGGTCAATCCTTCTAAACAAGAATGCAATTGACGTATTTTTGCCCTATAACCTATTATGCTCCAGTATTAACTCGCAGAACAATACTGTATTTTTAAACGAGAAGTTTTACCGAGCATTAATCCGAATACAGCACGAACATTACCCGAGCGCGCAAGTTCCGATGGAATGAGACGGTCATACAGAGACCATTGTTTTTTGAGATTTATATTTGATCTCTGTTGCAGATGTGTATTCCTTATTTTACAATGAATCGAAGATTTGTTCTTAGGTCATTACATGAACTTCCTTTTTTGCGTACAATTTTCTTTTAATTTAAGACTAATGAAATTTAAAGTAAACCTAATATAATTCAATCACATTTGAAACATAATAGATTATTTGAAACAATCTTAAATCATTAACTTTTCGAAGATTTTTCCTAATTATTAAATTATTAAATTAATAAGTTAAAATTGGCAGGTTTAAGAGTTGATGTGATTAACTGCAGCCCGTCAGTGCTATGAGTAATTAATTGCTGCGCTTCCATATCAATCTCAACACTGGTTATGCAGTTCCGCCACGCTGTCATTTAGGTTAGTGTCATGGCTAAAACGTTAAGTTACGGCTTCCTTTCAACAATTCTTCCTCATAATCAGCAACAAAATATAATATATCGTTACAACGCATGTTTATTTATTTCATTTTAAATGTATAGACCTACAGCACAACAACAATGTAAAAAAAATTCTCACGAAGAAACGTTAGCTAATTGAACGCATTATGTTAGTGTACCTCCTTGTTTAAATTAACGTGTCTTTTTTAAAACGACAGTCGTACTTTTTGGGCAAAATAAACCAAGGCTATCCAGCGGATACGGTCTATTGAATATATATCCAGGGTCATTACAGTAGTAATATAGTAGATAGGCCTAACAGGGATTTTGTGAGATATGTGAATGAGATATGGCCTTATTGTAGGATTGCAACTGTTTTAGGCCACCCTGGCGTTAAAAAAAAATTAACGAAAATACACTTCCTTGAAGTAATTATGGAAAACACCTAAAAATGCATTTAAACCATTAAGTCGCTCATTATTTAAAAGGATTACATACGGTATGTTATTAACTTCAAATTAGGCACAGATCAAAATTATTATTATTATTATACTTGATATCTGGTTTAACTCTATATAAATAGGCCTGTTAATCATCATCACCACATCACTATCACCACCAGGATCACCAAATGTCTACCTACCACCATCAATATTATCATAACCACTACCATCGTCATCATCACCACCCCCATTATTATCATCAACAACATCGTCATCATCATCGTCATCATCATCGTCATCATCATCCTCCTTCTCATCATCATCATTAACATTATCAACAACATGATCATCATCGCCATCATCTTCTTTTATCATAATCATTATCATCAAATTCTGGAGCCTCGTGAAATAATGTACTATTTTTCAAAAAAACATTCATTTTTCCATGGACAATAAAAATAATGACTCTGAAGGAATTATGTTAAGACTAAGAAGAGGTGGAAACATAAATGGCAGAAATGACATTTTACTTCTTTTATAAACAAAAAAATTAAAATAAATCTTTTTACTATTTACCACTATAGGATAGTAAAAAGCAAATAGTAAATACCCTCACCAAAAATAATTTCAAGTCCCGGACGTGAAACTAACAATGAATTTATTTTGGCCTTATCATCATCCTCGATATCATTACAAACACAAGTGACCAACCATTACCGTCATCATTATTATTATTAAAATGTATGTGTCTGTTAATTGACGAGGACAATTTTATTTCCTTTTTCTACTTTTAAAGTCAAAGGTTATAACGTAAATAGATAATAGATGTTAGTTTTTTTTTTGTTTGTTTTTGCTCACGACAGACAACACATTAAAACAGTTACATGATCTGTCATTCCTATAGTAGGAACATGACATTTGACTTAAAGGTTAACTAGACAATGATTTCTTAAAAATCCCCGGATGCTACACTTGTCATTATTGGACCGTAATAAACTACCGTAGGTTGATGAATATCGGAACGCTAAAATCATATTACTGTACGTACAGTTACACCGTCTAACACAAAAATATTGAAAATATGAATTAAATATGAAATTAAAAGAATGTTGACCATGTCAGTTAAATTCACACTTTGAATGACCTCCTCAATCGCTTATTCACCCAGTTTCCAACGTTATTAATATCTGTTGAACTCTCAAGAATCTGCTCATTGAAAGTACAAGCACTTAAAACTATCGATACCCATAAAGCACGGTAACCGATTGTTTGGTTACCACAAACTACCACAAATTAGCCTTTATATTTTGTTTATTTGCGGCCGTGTCTGAACATAGTACATGCCCGTTAAATTTACAATTGCTTTTGAAAATACGGTTAAAGATACTTTTTCATTGCATTTCATTTATTTAGTCAAAGGAACAATACAACGAACTGACAAACACAAAAGTAGAGAGGAAAAAGCACTCAATTGGCCGGACAGAATTGCCAAAACGTGAACTAAGTCACTGTTATTAGCATTAAAATAGTCAAGTAAATATATCACTATATGTATA